AGATGCCCCTGGTACCTTTTTCATAGGCTTTTTTGAGTTTGGGAAAGGACACAGGGGCCCAATGATCCTCTATTGCCCGGGGGCCCCATGAGTTGTCAGTCCACCCCTGCTGTCGGCACTTCCACATGGGCTTCTATAGGTAAAGCATATCTAAACCCTAGGAACAAAGACACCTGGAACTGCAGCTTGCAAGTCCTTAGATGTCCGCCCTTGGTCTGGAAGGGATTAGGGGGGAACCCCACACTGTTTTTTTTTTTTTTTTCTAAAAATGTCATTTTTAAAAAACAATTGTCATTCCTGCTGCAGCATGTTCTATACATTGTACAGATGTGCAACTTTGCAGTTAGTTTAAAAGGGACCCCCCCAGGTATGATATTTAAATGAATTTTTTTTTTTGTACTTTAAGCAATGAAAAATGACTGCCCCTTTAAAAACGGTACTTTCTGCATTTTTTTCACTGATTCATGTCCCTCAGGGCAATACCCGAGTCCCCATATCCCTTTTATGGCCCATAACTTGCATATAAGCTGTCAGGGACCACCGCGGCGCTGGTCCCGGCGCAGGCGCAGTGCGCCGCTTCACACAGGAATGCGGGCACTAGGTCCGGGCCGGCCGCGACGAGCCCGCGCATGCGCAGTGACGCGGGCGCGCGCCGGGCACCAATGACAGCGCAGGGCGCGGTATTTAAATTGCCCTGAGCTGTCATTGAGTGCCGTTCGGTCTATTTCTGTTCCTGTGTTACCTGATTTGCTGTGAGTACTTACCTGGATTGTCTGACCTTGCTGCCTTCTGCTGCCCTGACCTCTGGCTTGCCTGACCTCTCTTCTGTATGCCCCCTATGTGTTCTGATATACTGTTGCTGACCTGGCGTGTGACCCGACTATTCTCTGCCCGCTGTTTTGTACCTCGCATACCCCACGGTTCCCGACCCGGCTTGTTTGACCCTGCACCTGCTCAGCCATCCATCCCGTTGGGATCTCCCGGCCTCCTCACATCAGGCTCTTCCCCTGCGGGAGCCCTTGGCGGATACCTCTACCAGTGGTGAGTGTGCCCAGTAATAGCGACCTAGTCTCAGAGCGCTCCAAGTCCATCCCCACCATCAGGGGCCCTGGTGAACAAGTGCTCTGGGACTTAGATTCCGTGCTCTGGAAGCACCTCACCGGGGGATTGCTAGAGGTACCACCGGGTGGTCCCTTACCCTTACATAAGCCTTCAAAATGGGCACTTTTGAATTTACAAGTCCGAGTGCCATAGACTTGCATTGAGGTCAAAGTTGAATGTTCATCAGGTTCGAATGTTCAACCGCCAACCTGAACACAGGGGGGGTTTGGCCCGTCACTACTGCTGAGTCACTGCTGGGAGGGGGAGCAAAGGGAGCGGAGCTGCTCTGAAGATGGCCTAAATTGTTTGAGGCTGCTACAACTGCAAACTGACATAACTGAATGTAGAGTACCCATGCTTACTTAGCACAAATGGGGCACTCAGTATAGAGATCTGATAGAACCCAGAGGCAAAGCAGCAAAAGTGTACACTGAGCTCCCTGTAGAGATGGACACTCTCAAGCAGGGGCGGACTGGCAACTCATGGGGCCCCCGGGCAATAGGGGATCATGGGGCCCCTGTGTCTTCGCCCACACTCAAACCACACCCAAAACAGCCTATGAGAGATACCAGGGGCATCTCACGTGGCCCCCTAGTGACCCCAGGCCCTCGGGCAGTGCCTGAGTGCCGCAATGGTCAGTCCGCCCCTGCTCTCAAGGTGATTTTGTTAGCAAGTGGGGGGTTGCACATGTGCAATACAAATGTCATAATGACCACTGAAACCGGCCCAAGTAATTCAGCTGCTCAGGTGTCACATGAGCTTTATGTGCTCCATGGGAAAAATGAATGCAAAAGAGTTTTCGCACCTAAAATAACAGGAGATTTGGAGCTCTTAACTAGCCAGTTTATTACAGCAATATATACACTCAATATTTTTAATACGACAATGAATATTCTTTCCACTCTTATAAAGTACAGAATGTGCTAAAAAAAAATGTGGCAAGGAAACATCATTTAAAGCACAGCTATTGTCTAAATCCTGATTGCTTTACTCAGACAGTTGCATTGTGGAACATCTCAGTATGGATTAAAATATGTACATTATTGTGCTACCGGCTTACTTTCATGAGCTTTAATGGCTATGCATATTGATTTCATGACACAATGGCAATATCCATTCTCCTCTACCTATATCTAACCTTGCAATCACAGATCGCTCTTGAAGTACTCTTGTGTGATAGTAAGAGTTCCAAATGGCTCTTCTGCTGCGAAGAGGTGTGATTGCCTGATAGATGCGGGCACATTCATATATTTACTATACAGCTGTTAGCTTCCTTATATTAGCTGCGGGCAAACAATACATATGGATATATTACAAGACAGCTACATGAAAAGAATAGCTCTCCGTTGATATATTCTTCATTTTTATATGTCTTCCATGTGCTATGAAAATGGATTCTTTGTGCTCCTGCCTAAGCACACTTAACAGGGCTAGGTATGTCCCTCTTTTACCCCATTTGCACCTAAAAGCTATCGTTGTCTGGATGCAAATGCAAATGTAGTTGTTCAGAATGCACTGCTATGCGCTATTTTACTTGACAATACTTTTATGAATAATATACATACCTAAAAAAAGTTATAATTTTTGAAGGCTTTATAGGGCTTTAATTGAGGACACTGTTTACAAAGACCCTACTTTTATTTTATAGGCTAAACACCCCTTTATTAGAAAACAACCTATCACAAAAAATAGTGCAGCGCTTAATAAGAAACTCATTTCCCAGTATTGATATGAACGAGTAAATGAAATAAATAAATAAATAAGTAAAATAGTCCTCAATAATCCAGTCCGGTGATTGTTCTTTAGAAAGAAATAGAAGAAGTGCCCACTCACCGGAAGCGCACTTGGTATAGTGCAGTGTATAAAACTGATTCCCGGGTGTCACTGGGTGTATATATCTGGGTCAGCGGGTAGAAGGGCTTTCCTCTCTGGGTAAAGCAGATCCAAGATCACAGGTGTTTAGGCTCCGGCTCAGAGTTCCCCTTAAGGGATGTGTGGGTGTTGCTCTTACAGTAGTAGGAAACTCCCTCTCTGGATGGATTCGGAGCAACACAGCGTCTGGAAAAAATACTCCCCGTACGGGGTCAAAACAAAGAGGTGCCCATCGTGTAGTAAGTTTGAATAAAGTAGATGTTTATTAAAAATCATGGGATGCATCCAATGTATAGTGGGAACGGCAGGCAGTAACAAACACTAACCGTCCCTAGAGTGTGATGGCCGCCGGACCTCCACGATACTCCGACGGTGTGACGTCAATGGCGCGAGCAGGCTCCTCCTTACGCGTTACGTGCCACGCACATCGTCAGAGGGTGAGCTGGACTATTTTACTTATTTATTTATTTATTTCATTTACTCGTTCATATCAATACTGGGAAAAGAGTTTCTTATTAAGCGCTGCACTATTTTTTGTGATATTTTGTACTGAGGTTTTTTTTTTTTGGTTGCCTTGAGTGTACAGCTGCTGAACTGAATAGCGCTCACTTTTCACTTTATTTACCTATTTAGAAAACAACCTACCTAATGGATTCAAAGTATACTAAATCTACTGTATCTGTCACCATGTAAAACTTGTACGTACAAATTTTCTTTATTAAGCAAAAAATATAATAAAGACACATTTTATAGGCTAACGCAGCCTTTTTCACCAAGGTGCCCAGGGGTGCCTTCAGGTTTCTTCAGGGGTGCCTTGGCAAAATGCCTAAAAATTGGCCAAAAAATTGTATACCAGCCAGCAGGTGGATCAATCCTGCCTTTTAGTTACACAAAGCCACAGGTTTTCATTGCGCACCACTACAACTTTCTAGCCTCTGGAGACATAACAACCAATGATGTCATCTGTTCATAAGGACATCGGGCACCTGCACAGCATCTTTACTTGCCCCTTCCCTACCCCTCTCCGTCAGCACTGGGGTCACTTTAGCTGAGTCAGAAAGAGAAATTGAGGGAGAAGAGAAACATTGGAATACTAGTCGACAGGGGCGGACTGACCATTTGGAAACTCGGCCACTGCCCGAGGGCCCGGGGTCAGTAAGGGGCCCCATGAGATGCCCCTGATACCTTTTTCATAGGTTTTTTTGAGTTTGGGCAAGGACACAAGGGCCCCATGATCCCATATTGCCCAGGGGCCCCATGAGTTGTCAGTCCGCCCCTGCTAGTCGATATCAGTGTGCAAAGGTGTATTTGCTTTGGAAGTATAAATCACCTCTAATGTTGGGTGTCCAACATGTGCAGATGTTGCTGCGTTCTATAAAACTATTAGTTTCATTTTTTGCATTTTGTAACGGGTGCCTCAGGATTGTGCAAAATTTTAAAGGGTGCCTTGACTGAAAAAAGGTTGAGAAACACTAGGCTAACAAAAGCCTAAAAATGCAATAAAAAAAAAAAATAAATAAAAAAAAAAAATATATATATATATATATATATATATATATATATATATATATATATATAGTATATACACTATATTGCTAAAAGTATTGGCACACCCTTCCAAATCATTAGATTCAGGTATTCCAATCACCTCCATGGCCACAGGTTTATAAATCAAGGCAAACAATAAAAGAGAAAAATTCCCAGTTCAACTTACCAACCAGCTTGCAAACAAACCAAATTTGCCTGTCTAACAGTATGCATTAAAAACAGGGGTTTAGTTAGAACGCATTTGCAAGTACATGCGTAAGCTGCAGAGCCTCTTCATGACACCCTGATACTCAGCAGTTCCTAACTCTCCAAATTTAAGAACCCCCATAGTAGAGGCACATGTATTTAATGGATAGACCGAGGGCAGATTAACATGAGGGAGCCACCCCCTCCTTAACCACCTTCCACCCGCCCTATAGTACAATGACGGGCGCAGGGTGGTTCTCTCGTTCTGACAGGACATCATATGACGTCCTACCATTCTCACTGCGCATGCGAGGCTCAGGGAGTGCGCAGCGCGGCGATCGCTGGTGCGCTGTGTCCCTTGGACACAGTGGATCACCAATTACGGAAAGAGCCGAAGATGTCGGCTCGGTCATGTGATCAGCTGTGTCCAATCACAGCTGATCACATGTAAACAGGGAAATGCCGGTTATCAGCATTTCTCTCCTCTCGAGCTGTCACGCTGACAGCTCGAGACGAGAGGAGAGCCGGTAATCGGCTTTCCACTGAGGGGACATGTACACTGATCATCAGGGCACTGATGATCAGTGTGCCCTGATGATCAGTGTAGCCCCAGCAGTGCCACCTGTCAAAGTCCATCAGTGCCAGCTGTCAGTGTCGATCAGTGCCATGTGCCAGTGCCTATCAGTGCCACATCAATGCCACATATCAGTGCCTACCAGTGCACATCAATGCCACATATCAGTGCCCATTTGAGCTGCCTTTCAGTGTCATCCATCAGTGCCAGTCAGTGCCACATATCAATGCCAATCAGTGCCACCTATCAGTGCTGCCAATCAGTGCAACCTATCAGTGCCAGTCAGTGCCGCCTATCAGTGTGCATCAGTGCCAGTCAGTGCCGCCTAACAGTGCCATATATCAGTGCCATGTATCAGTGCTGCCTTTCAGTGCCCATCACTGATGCCTGTCAATGCCCATCAGTGCCACCTACCAGTGCCTCCTCATCAGTGCCCATCAGTGCCACCTATCAGTGTCCATCAGTGCAGCCTATCAGTGCCGATCACTGCAGCCTCATTAGCTCACATCAGTGAAGGAGAAAAATCACTTATTTACAAAATTGTATAACAAAAACTAAGAAAAAACGTTTTTTTTTTTTTCAAAATTTCATGGTTTTTGGTTTGTTTAGGAAAAAATAAAAAACCCAGAGGTGATTAAATACCACCAAAAGAAAGCTTTATCTGTCACAAAAAAATGATAAAAATTTCATATGAGTACAGTGTTGCATGACTGCGCAATTGTCATTCAAAGTGCAACAGCGCTGAAAGCTGGAAATTGGCCTGGGCAGGAAGGGGGTATAAGTGCCCTGTAGGCTTGTGGTTAAAGGTACAGGAACGCACTGGACACCCAGCATGTAGCACAATGGCAGCCAAGGTGTCCAGTGCGCCCTCTCACCAACAAGTCAACAGTACAGTAAAAAAAATGGCCACTGCCCCAGTCTATAACTGGCCTTCACAGCAAGGAGCACATGGAAGGGCGACACAAACCAAACCTCTGTTTTTAACGCATACTGTTAGACAGGCAAATTCAGTTTGTTTGCAAGCTGGTTGGTAAGTTGGGCTGGGAATTTTTCTCTTTTATTGTTTGACATGCGTTGCCCTTCCATGTACTCCTTGCTGTGAAGGTCAGTTATAGACTGGGGCAGTGGCCATTTTTTGTACTGTATAAAATCAAGCACATAGGCAATGCAGACTGCTTCTACAAACATTTGTGAAAGAATGGGTCGCTCTCAGGAGCTCAGTGAATTCAAGCGTGGTACCGTGATAGGTGGCCACCTGTGCAATGTGTCCATCCATGAAATTTCCTGGCTACTAAATATTCCACAGTCAACTGTTAGTGGTATTGCAACATAAGTGGAAGCAACTAGGAACAACAGCAACTCAGCCACGTAACATGACAGAGCGGGGTCAGCGCATGCTGAAGCGCACAGTGCACAGAAGTGGCCAACTGTCTGCAGAGTCAATAGCTAAAGATCTCCAAACTTCATGTGGCCTTCAGATTAGCACAACAACAGTACGTAGAGAGCTTCATGGAATGGGTTTCCATGGCCGAGCAGCTGCATCCAAGCCTTACCTAACCGAGTGCAATGCAGTGTCGGCAGCAGTGGTGTAAAGCACACCGCCACTGGACTCTAGAGCATTGGAGACGTGTTCCCTGGAGTGACGAATCACACTTCGTGTCTGGGTTTGGCAATTGCCAGGAGAACAGTACTTGCCTGACTGCATTGTACCAAGTGTAAAGTTTGGTGGAGGGGGGATTATGGTGTGGGGTTGTTTTTCAGCGGTTGGGCTTGGCCCCCTAGTTCCATTGAAGGGAACTCTTAAGGCATCAACATACCAAAACATTTTGGACAATTTCTTGCTCACAACTTTGTGGGAACAGTTTGGGGATGGCTCCTTCTTATTCCAACATGACTGCGCACCAGTGCACAAAGCAAGGTCCATAAAGACATGGATGAGCGAGTTTGGGGTGGAGGAACTTGACTGGCCTGCATAGAGTCCCGACCTCAACCCCATAGAACACCTTTGGGATGAATTAGAACGGAGACTGTGAGCCAGGCCTTCTCATCCGACATCAGTGCCTGACCTCACAAATGTGCTTCTGGAAGAGTGGTCAAACATTCCCATAGACACAAGGAAGGGCAGCCTTCCCAGAAGAGTTGAAGCTGTTATAGTTGCAAAGGGCGGGCCAACTCAATATTGAACCCTACGGACTAAGACAGGGATGCCATTAAAGGTCATATGCTTGTAAAGACAGGCGTCCCAATACTTGTGGCAATACAGTGCGTGTATATATATATATATATATACAGTTGTAGCGGGGCCATTGCTGTTTCCCTTTTAAAGAACGGTTTCCCTTTTAAGATGCATGTTGTCAGAAAGGGTTTGATTGGCTCAGCTCTCAGCAGTACTGAAGTGTTTGTGGGAGTTGTAGTTTCATTACAGAGGCAGACAATGTAACTTTATACTGCACAGAACTACAAGACCAGGAGGCTTTGCAAGGAGGAAGGGGGAGGAGAGCCACGGGTGCCTTTGCAGAGGACATGTGGGGGCTAGTCTGCAGTCCCTACTGTTGAAGTACACTGACACTGTTTCCAGAACAGCAGAGGTTGCTAAGGACAACGGTTATGTACAGCAGCTGAAGTCAGCGGCAACTGTGATCATTGGTACCAGTCACCAGCGACGGCAGTTACCGACAGCAACGACATCTCCCACCGCAGAAAGAGGTCAGAGTGTTGGAAATCGCAGAGGAGGCGTGTGACCATCCCAGGTGAGGCACCTTACACTAGCAAGACAGACAGAGCCCCATTCATCATCCCTTCAAGGAGATAACCCCTGGAGACTGTTCTTCGTGGATGTGGTGAGCAACCGCTAACCAGTGACATGTCAGTCCCTAAGAGCGCTCCACCAATTCACTAACACAGGCCTGTGCAACACATAGACTCACACAGTGTTACAATCCCACAGTATACATGTGAATTTGGGACTGAGCCTAAAGAGATGTCATTTTAGCTGGGGACATATTGCAGTTATAGTTGCAGAGGGTTAATACTGATCTATAGCTATACTGGTATATACATGAATATTGTGTTTATTGATGTTATTGTGCTAATTCTAGAAGGTTTGTGCATTTAACTGCTATTTTCCACGTTAATTTGCAGTCTATTTGCAGAGTTTTACCTGTCTTATTAAACCTGTTATAAAACTTCCAAGGTGTACTGGTGTGCTGTGGATCCAATATATATATATGGTTCATCACTGAAGTAAGGACAGAAATGCCAGCGGCTCCTTCGGGGGTGAGCGCTACACAGTCATAGCCCAAAATTTTGGCACCCCTCCATCTCTGTCAGATAATGCACCACTTTGCCTAGAAAATGGTTGCAATTACAAATGTTGAGGCATTCCCATGTTTATTTCTTTTTGCATTGGTATGACACAAAAAATGTGAGGAAAAAAAAAAGCCAAATTTGACACCCATTCGCAGCCTCAGCTGTTTATCACCGGGTCCCGGCCGGTGATTCCCCTTCGGCACCAGGCGATCGCCAAGTATCTCCGACGGGGAAGAGACCTGTGTATAAACAACATAGATCTCTCCCCTGTCAGCTCCTGCACACTGCTTTGTATGGCTCTGCATAACAGAGCTATACAAAACAGTGTGCTTACAGCGTAAAGCACACAGCTCACAGTAAAACAGCCCACAGTTAACTCTTTGACCACCCCACGTTATGTCCTGCAGTCCCGCTATAAGTCACTGATTGTAGTAAAAAATAAAAAAAATTCCAGTATCTATACCGCCATTTGTAAACACTATAACTTTCACATAAACCAATTCATTTACACATATTGGGATTTTGTTTAGCAAAGCCATGTAGCAGAATACAATTTGGCCAAATTTATAATGAAATTAGATTTTTAAATTTTTTTTACTGGACATGTTTAATAGCAAAAAGTCAAAAATATTGTTTTTTTTTTTCAAAATTGCCAGTCTTTTTTTTTGTTTATAGCGCAAAAATTAAAACTGCACAGGCAATCAAATACCACCGAAAGAAAGCTCAATTTGTGGGAAAAAAGGACGTACATTTCATTTTGGTGCAGCGTTGCATGACCGCACAATTGTCAGTTAAAGTAACACAGCTCCCACTACCAATTATTGATAAAATGTGGCTGTGGCCTTTGTAGTTATCCTGCAGCGTGTTGCCATATTGCAAAAAATGGCTTGGTCAGGAAGGGGGGTAAACCCTCCGGAGGGCAAGTGGTTAAGATTTGATATCAACTAGGGCGGCACAGTGGCTTAGTGGTTAGCACGTCTGCCTTGCAGTAAATGGGTCATGGGTTTGATTCTCGACCATGGCGCCTCCTGCATGGAGTTTGCATGTTCTCCCTGTGCTTGTGTGGGTTTCCTCCCAAACTCCAAAGACATGCTGGTAGGTTAATTGGCTCCTCTCTAAATTGGCCCTAGTATGTGTATGTATGAATGTGAGTTAGGGACCTTAGATTGTACACCCCTTGAGGGTTAGGGACTGATGTGAATGTACAATATATATGTAAAGCGCTGCGTAAATTGACAGCACTATATAAGTACCTGAAATAAATAAACTACTAAGGGGGTGCACTGTTTTCAAAGGACTGGCCAACTCATAGACTTGCATTGTGGGAAGGTACAGCAAAGCACAACCAGGGGCGGACTGACCATTTGGAAACTCGGGCACTGCTCGAGGGCCCAGGGTCAATAGGGGGCCCCATGAGATGCCCCTGGTACCTTTTTTCATAGGGTTTTTTGAGTTTGGGCAAGGACACAGGGGCCCCATGATCCCCTATTGCCCAGGGGGCCCCATGAGTTGTCAATCCACCCCTGAGCACAACCATTGTGTAGCACCAAAAGGAAGGCTTCGAAGCTGTATGTATATAAAGATTTATGGCTCATTTCATATTTAATTAAAATTATTTAACACATATTGATGAGATTATATACACCAAGATGATCTCTTTGCATATAAGAAATAAATAAAATGAAAAAAACTATGAATTCCTTTTTGATACCTTTTACTGAAAATAACCAGCGTGCGCCCAGAGCGATCGTTCAGTGTGGATAATTGTCTGCTACCTTCAGTCAATTCAAAAATAACTGCTGCCATACAGAGAGAACTCATTGTGATCACTTAATGAGGGACAGGGTCAGGGAGACTCCCAATTATTGATAAAATGTGGCTGTGGCCTTTGTAGTTATCCTGCAGCGTTTTGCCGGAGTGACACATTGGCGATACGCACTCCATTCTTCATTCACAACACAAAGACATAAGCTGGTAAGCATGTATCAGGTCAACATAAACAACATTATTCCACGATAGTAGCCATTCACAGATAACATCTCGGGTTCATTAAGCTGGAAGCCCCACAAGATGTACGTTGCATTCGTTGACCTCTGTGCAGGGTGCTTAAGGGCTATGTCATTGTATTTCCATTGATTAAGCTGTGGCCACCATGCACTGGTGTGCAGAATATTATAATAAGATTTAACCATGTATTTGTCTACGTTTTCTTTTGCTTTGTGTGCTAATACAGTTATTCCAAATTCATCCTCAAGTCCTGTGAACACTTCAAATCTACATAGATAGTTAAATCAGTCATTACAGCTATCTTGACTAGGGTATTAAAGATGATTTGTCTCCAATACTGCTTGACCACCACTCCACCACTTATCCATTCTTAAATAATCACACATGATACAAACTGGAGTTTAATGGCCATAGCAGCACTTTATTAGCAACCTGCCACATGCTCACAGTATATTTGCTGTGAGCAGGCGACAGATTCAGGCCTAGGCGACAGGTCCAGGCCTAGGCGACAGGTCCAGGCCTAGGCGACAGGTCCAGGCCTAGGCGACAGGTCCAGGCCTAGGCGACAAGTCCAGGCCTAGGCGACAGGTCCAGGCCTAGGCGACAGGTCCAGGTCTAGGCGATAAGTCTAGGCCTAGGCGACAGGCCCAGGCCTAGGCGCCAGGTCCAGGCTTAGGCGACAGGTCCAGGCTTTCTTCCGGGTTTGGGGTGTGCATGCACGCACCCCCTGCTGACCTGTGCTGTTTGCCAGCAGGTTTTAGCCAAATATTTAGGCTGAAACCAGCTGATCATCTGTGTCCAATCACAGCACAGAGTTCTGCTTTGCAAACACAGAGAGCTCTTTGTAAACAGAACAGCGATCTGGCTGTTTCTTCTCCCTGAAAAGCAGGGAGAAAAAACTGCCAGATTTGTAAGTAAAAGCAGCACGCATTACACACATTGCACTTGTTAGGGACACAGTTAACCCCTTGATTGCCTCTTTATGTTAACCCCTTCTCAGCCAGTGAGATTAGTACAGTGTACAGTATTATATCTGATTACTGTGTTAGTGTCACTAGCGATGTCATTGTCAGTTAGTGTTCCTCCCAGCCAGTTTCTGTCAGCAACAGTTTGCCATCCACACTATCACAGTCCCTCAATAAGTTGCTAATCACTGCTGTTACCAGTACAGAATCTATAGCAGCGTAAATTCTAGTATATATACCATAGTTTGTAGACGCTATAACTTTCACACAAACCAGACCAAAAATGTAAATGGACTTTGGAGGCACAGAAACCATAAATACATATCAGTAAAATCACTTGTACTTTATTATGACAGTAAGTCCCCTTGCGTATATTTCCCCAATTTTTGGTCTAGTTAACTAGGACGTGGCACTAGTGTATCAAAAACTGGGAGTGACTTGAC